TGAGAAAGGAGGGAGGGAGGTGAAATGAAGACAGAGATAACACTGCCGGCTGCAGCAGCCTTCCCTCAGATAAGAAGTGGATAAACAGCTCCTGGAGATCAAACCCTCCAGTGTGTAACCCTATCGCAGTTCACCAGCCTCTGATCCTGACAGATCCCATACAGATCTCTCTCTCACACACACACGCACACTTTGGCAAAACTTGTACTTCTGTTAGTAAAAATTTGCTGAATTTGAACTTCATTGCAATTTTAGGCTGTGGAAGTTGCAGAGATTCACCAGATATATGACACCCACAAAGAAATAGATAAAAATCTTGCTCTGGTGCCCGGCCTCACCTGGCATTTCACGCTGGAGCAGCACCTAGAAGCGACTGAAATGGACCTACTAAGTGTTAGAAGAAACCAAGGACAACTCCCATCTTAAATGCCTCCCTGTTTGCTTAGCAGAATATCGTGCGTGCCCATTTTTCAGAGGGGCTCAAGGTGCGGCCAGTAGCAAAACTCAGCGATGTTTCCCTACGTGGCTGTGGACGGTCCAACTCTCCCGGCCCAAATGATCCCATAAGTCTCATTATTCTTAAAAAGGCCAAATTACAGGTTTCCCTCGCTTTATGCTGCACATGCGTTGCTTGAAAACGGTGCTTAACTTGAATGTGCACACGGGGAACCCACTTTGCAATGTGACAGACAGGGATATGATCCAAGACCTCGACTGTGCTGACCCCCAGACCTGTTTCCACCACTTGTACGAGACAGTCGTAGTCCTCACTGACAGCAGACAGCACACACCAGCACAGGGCACGATCGCCACAGGGATAGCAACTACAGAAACACGCGCTGCACGCGATGAGCGCCGATCCACTCAGGAGACTTACACAGCATGCCGCACAGAGCAGCTACCGATGAACGTACCCCGCAGATAGCGAGTTTTTGGGTATAAAAAGTGTCACCGCGTAAGAGCGAACGCGCACGTACAGAACCCGCATCCAGCGTCATCCCTCCCCCGGAGGTGCACCCGCTCAAAGCATGTAGACGGGGTGGGGAAGGGAGTCATCACCCCAGAAACACTACAGACCTGCCCTGGGGGAGTAGTGTCTCGGGGATCAGATGCAGCTAAGGGTGCAAAGACCTCGTCCCAAGGAAATGAAATCTCCAAGAGGTTTTTTTTGCGGCTCTGGGGTCACCCCCTGTCCCTCTGCTAGCGGGGGAGGTCACGAGGGGCACCTGCTTGCACTCCCCCTCCCCGCGGGGCCCGGGGTAGGACGGGGCCCGCGGGGCAGGGGCCTGGAGGGGCGCCCCCCGCCTGACCGACCTGGCTCTCGGCCGCGGGGATGCCGGACTCGAGCTCGCACAGCGCGCGAAAGTTCTGCAGCTCGAAGTCGGCGTCCACCTGCAGGGAGAAGGTGAGTTCGCTGCGGTCCCGGCGCAGGCAGAACACGGTGAGCAGCATGGCGGCCCGACTGCCGCCTCCGCCCTCCCGCTCGCCGACGACGGCCAGCCAAGCGCCGCCCGCTGTCGCAAACGCGCTGTCGCAAAAGCCGGCCTGCGCCATGGTGCCCCCTGCTGGCCCGCCCCGCTCCGGCCGCCTTTGCACAGCCCTGTCTTGCCCCCTCCCCGGGCCACCCTTGGGCCGCAGGTTGCCCGCCCCGCCCGTAGCCCCCCAACACCTTGCTTCCCCTCATGGCGCATCCCACCAGCGCCGTCCGGGACCCCCACACGCCCCAGGCTTCTCCTGTCGCCCACCACCCCCCGCTGGAAAAAAAAGGGGGTGTTTTATTAGACGTGGCAGGCTTGCAACAAACCCACTTCGTTTCTGACCCTGACGCCTGTTGAATCGCCTTTTCCAGGATGCTCGCCGTGGTCTTCTCGAGGCCGTCTGCTCCGCTCCGAGACACTGCGCTCGCTGGAATCGTTTTAAGGGTCCTCGGGGAATTTTACAAAGCTGAGATGCCTGAATTTACCCTCTGGGTGGAGGTAGGAGGCTGGTGGGTCTGAGGACATAGCAGATTCACCCAAAGAACCTTATCTGCCTGTCTTTTAGACCAACTTAAACAGTTGGGAAAGTGTTTTCTTAGCAAGTTTTCAGGTTTAACAACCCTTGGTCAGGCTGAAGAAGCCTTTGCAGTCAGTGTGCATGCTGTTCCTGGAGGGAACAAATAGTAGAGGCAAAAGGCCGTCTTCCTTGCATGCAGACCAGCCTCTGGTCCCTGTACTATTCATTTCACCCAGGAAGAGCACACACCAACTGCAGGTGCTTCCCCAGCCTGACCAAGGGTTTTTAAACCTGACAGCTTGCTAAGAAATGTTTCTTCCAACTATTTCAGTTGGCCTAATAAAAGATAGCAGACTCCCCCAAAGAACCTTGTCTGAATTCATTTTCACTATTCAAAACAACTCAAAATGCTGTTGCCAATGTAACGTTTCGCAAATTAACACGCAGGTAGGGCTGTGTTACATGGAAATGAGTCCGCTACAATGATCTACAGGCAACCCCCACTTAGCGCTATTTCGCTATAGCGCTCGTTTCACTGCGATACCCTATTTCACTTAGCGCTCAGCAAGTTTCACTATAACGCTCAGGGGTATCCCCTGCAGCCACCCCTCAAAAAAGTTCCTCTGCCAAGCACGTCAAAATCCCCTGATACTAACCCTGACAGCCCTGATTCAGAGTGCTGAGCAAAGCGGAAAGAGCAAAAAGTAAAAGTGAAAACAGTTCATTACTTTATTTTATAATTGTATACATTATTTCAAAGTTCAAAGTTAAACAAAGCATTTACATGTCTGAATTAATTGATTTTATGGTAGTAGTGGGGGATTTCAGTGATTTTATAGTATGAGTGGGGACCCCGGGGAACAAATAATATTTATTTACATTCATTCCTATGGGAAAATTGGTTTCACTTAACAGTTTTGCTTAGCACTCGATTTTTCCAGAACCAATGAAGAGCACTAAGCGGGGCTTGCCTGTATAACAAAAAAAGATGCAGGGATACTCTGGAGGTTGTTCATTCCTGCCCAGTTTGAAACTGCTGAGAGGGATTCTCTCAAAGGAAGCAAGGTCACACCAAGAGATACTCAAAGTACATATGCACCAGAACTAATGCTTTTCTACATCAAAATCTATAAAGCACCACAGTGAAACCTCAGTCCGTGAGTGGATGGAGTATGGTACCTCTGCTCTCCCACGTACTGTGACTTGGGATAAACTGACATTTAAATTGTTACGTGGAACAATCTCATATTCGGCTGTATTGAAGGTCTTTAACTGTAGGCGAAACTGCATTGATATCACAAAACAGCTGTGCATACAGAGTAACCAAGTAGAAAACATTACTCTTCCAAATAATGGGTAGCTTTCTGTTTCAGAGCTTTCTTCTTTTCTACACCAGAAGAACGTATAGGAGAATTGTGAGCAGGAGAGGGAGGAATGAGGTGAAAAAAAAAATTGACCTTTAATTTTACTGGAAAAGAAAACCTTGTGAGGGATTGCAAAGGAAGTGGTGTTGGGATGTTAAGATGAATCGTTAATTTGGCTTATTTTGTGACAAAGTGTGTGATTTCTGATAATCAGCCTGGAGGATCAATGTAACACAACATGCAAATCTGACAGGTGTCATCTGTCTGTGCGCTGAGAAAAGTGAGAGATTTATATGTCTATTACCCACAGCTAAATGTCATGGCATTTGACATTATGGCAGTGTAAGATCTGGAGATAGGATTTTCAATAATGTATCTGAATGAGATCAATCATTCAAGGAAGGGAAGTGAAGAGCTACCTGGAATGCTAGATTCCATTCTTGCACAGAGGTGTGCCTGTACTGTGGTAGCTGGAAGCTAAATGAGCAGGACTAGTGGGTGAGGAACACTGATGATTTCTTGTGGGGAGGGAGAAATGCATCCAGTCACAGAAGCAGGAGTGCTAAAAGTGAATACTGTACTGCTGCCCTTAGGAGAATTAGATGTTGGTTACGAGACCCATGAGTTAGGGGAGGAAGAAATTAAATTTTCTCTACTTGATTATATTGGGCTACTGCTCCAGAGAAGTGTTAGAGCCTTCTACTCCACTACATTTAACTGTAGTTCTTTTTGAGAATCTGAATGCTGGAAGCAACTGAAGATTGTTCACACCTTGTCCTATGGATCCTCCTAGATGGATGTATGCTGTAACGCACATCAAGGGCTCAGACGTTTCTACACCAGAACTTTAGAAGGAAAAAGAGTGCATTTTTGTGTGTGCGCCGTTTCACTTTTGCCAGACAACTTCTCCCTGAATGCAGATATTCTGCAAATTCCTTACATTGTTTGAAGTTTCGACCAGACCGGCAAGTTAACTTAAAACAGGAAGCTCACTACTTTGAACATAGGCATCCACTACGGAGGGACATCCCTACAGTTTTTCATAATGCTCTCCTCGTAGACTGAGGAGTCAGGACCCAAGCAGCTAATATACTAATTTAGTATCCTGAAGGGCCTACACTGGTGGCAGTGGATACAGTTTTCCTAGACTTCAGGAAGGCTTTTGACACTGTCTCTCACCCCATTCTCATTAGGAAGCTGGGGGACTGTGGCGTAGACACCCACACAGTCCAATGGGTCGCCCACTGGTTAGAGAGTCGCACCCAGAGGGTGGTAGTGGATGGGTCCTTCTCGACCTGGAAGGACGTGGGAAGTGGGGTCCCACAGGGCTCGGTCCTTGGGCCTGCACTGTTCAATATCTTCATCAGTGATTTGGACGAGGGGGTGCAAAGCACCCTGTTCAAGTTTGCTGATGACACTAAGATGTGGGGGGA